ACACTGAGGGTTGCGATCCATTGCCAGACACGAAAAAAGACAAAAAGGAAAAAAAAAATTCATTGAAAATAGAATTAAAAATATTATCTTTTAATTTCCTAGACTACCATCTGGATCCTTTAGAGAAGAAAAGTGTGTGTGTGCTTAGGTCGAGATATATTGGTTAGGCTTTTGTATTGCTGTTACATTAATCACGGCACCCAACTTTTTCTCCCAAAGGGCAAAACAGATGATGAAAGAGACATTAGTTATGAGAGACAAGGTGAAGTTTATAAAGACCTTGTCACATTTTTAAAAGAAAAATCAGCAAAATTTTCAGAAAATATGTCTAAACAAGTAAGTTTTTAAGTCTCTTTTGAACTTTCATAACATTATATTACTCAACTGTAACTTCCTATAGTACAAAAAAATAGGGATTTTGCCTAATTTTGGACGCTGCTTTTAATTATGACAGTGTTTTTTCTTCACAATATGACATTAAAATAAGAAATATTCTAATTGTAGTACTTTAAAAATGTTTCTGCTTTTCTTCAGATGATAGGTACTGTTGACCCTTGAACAATGTTGGGGNAGGGAGGTTTCGGTGATGGGACATAATAATCAACTACATTGTATATTGACAAAATAAAGATTTAAAAATAAAAAAATTAAAAAAGTTCATGGAAAAAGAAAATGAAAAGAGATGCATTTTTCCATGAACTTTTTGAATACCCCTAGTATAATCTGTATGGGAGAATGATAGAAAAGCAAAATGAGGAAAGGAAAGAGATAAGAAGGAAGAGGACAGAGACAGAGGGGTGGAGGGACAGATAGTTACGTAGAGATCTTATTTGTAGAAAATGAGCCTACAGCTACCATACTGCACATGGAACGAGAACAGAGTGTGGCAAACAGAAACAGGCTTTTCTCCGGTGGCATTCTTATCTTGAGGCCTTTTATGACTACATCAGCTAAGGCTCTTGAAGTCACAATGCATTTTGAGGAGAATAGAGGAAAGGAAGCTCTTACGTTTCTGCTGAATAGCACAGTGCCCTGCGTGCATGTAGGAGGTACTCAGTAAATGCTTGCTGAATGAATGAACGAATGAATGGATAACATTAAGTTAAGGGGAAGGTTTTGCCTATACATCTCATGTATGTGGGTACTTCAAAAATTCATGGAAAGGGCCGGCCCGGTGGCGCACTGCTACAGTGCGCCGCTTGGGAGCGTGGTGGCGCTCCCGCCGAGGGTTCGGATCCCACATACAGACCGGTTCCTGCTCACTGGCTGAGCGAGGTGCGGGTGTGACACTGAGGGTTGCGATCCCGTGGCCGGTCCTGGTCCAGTACGGGCGCGACACTGAGGGTTGCGATCCATTGCCAGACACGAAAAAAGACAAAAAGGAAAAAAAAAATTCATGGAAAGATTCATATTCTCTT